CACATCACCACTGTGGCAACCACAACCACCGTTGTTTCGGTCCATGGTGCCACCATCTTCGGAATAGGAACACGTAACCTGCGTGTGTCGGGGTCCTCGATAGTACCACCACGGGTATATGTATAAAGTGGAATACGTCCGTCACCAGGGCTGCGGACTTCATTGTTGATGAGAAGACAAGATATCCTATCGGAGTACTGACAGTTGGCATGAGCCGTGACATTAGAACATTCTTGGGCAGTGTAGGGTCGCCACAACTCATTATAGTCTGCGGCTCCGAGGTTATCATATTGATGCATGAGGACACCGGCCTCGGAAAGATCATCAGTGGGGTGGCCGTCGTTGAATCTCTTGTTGAGAGTCTTCACAACGTCATCAGCGTGATCTGCTGATGTCACAGTGAATGTCGATATCAGGAGATATCCTGCTAATACTATAACTGAGTTAAACATTATGAAACACAAACAAAAGTAAAACCACTTTAAAGCAAGCAGTTATACTTAGCGGGAATTGCGCCATTGTCCCAGCTGCGATGACTGAGACAGCGACACAGGAACTGTCTTCTCAAAAGCTAGGCGGATTCGAGGTATTTTCTCTTGCAACTTGTTCCGTGATTATTCGCATCTTTTTCTCCATGATGGCATTATTTCGAATCGAGTCGGTGTGTCGTCAGCAGTGTGTTCTAGCTGGTTCACTCAGAGCGACTATCTGATCTATTTGATTCACCCTATGGAATATCTTCATCGTGGCAGTTATCACCAACTCGGGGAACGCAACGAGCAATTGTGATCGAAGTATTTGATACAACCACGATAAGTACATTGTGACATGCCTTAGGTTAAAGCTTCGACTTCTGTAGATGGGATGTTGCCTCCACTAGTTGGAGAATGCGATTCTGTGGGCACAGTAGCGCTCTCTGTGATCAGATCACCATTCTCCATAGGCTCATTGTTTTCTTCAGTGGTCAGACCACCATTCTCTGTGGGCACACCATCGCCTTCAATGGTCAGACCACCATTCTCTGTGGTCACACCATCGCCTTCAGTGGTCAGACCACCATTCTCTGTGGGCACACCATCGCCTTCAGTGGTCAGACCACCATTCTCTGTGGGCACACCATCGCCTTCAGTGGTCAGACCACCATTCTCTGTGAGCACACCGTCGCCTTCAGTGGTCAAACCACCATTCTCTGTGGGCACAACATCGCCTTCAGTTGTTAGAGCATCGACCTCAGTAGACGGAGCCTCTTGGCCGATACGAATCTTTCATGACCGGTCCACACTAGCTTCAAATCCTTTCTTACCAGTTTCCTGAAATCCCCGAGACCAAGTTTGCCGTCGCGATCAGCATCCGCCATTTGCACTAAAGTGAAACGACATGCCATCAGATCTTTCCAGAGCAGACTTACATATAGCGTCCACGTCACCCTCGGACAACAGGCCATAACCAGCCTTTTTGAAGAACTCCTTCACCGTTTTCATGTCGACATACCCCGTATCATTCGGATCATAGAGCTGCCAGGCTGAGTGGTAACGATAATACACAGTGAGGTGTACCTTGAAGCTTCTGCTATCGGGTCGAAGTCAGTGAGCTCATTGTCACTCAGAGATGATACACTCTGTGAAGTGATCTCCTCCTGGTTTTCATCAGAATCTGACACGAGCGTGGCGGCCGCAGTGACCC